ATCTGTATATATTCCATTATATTTAGTGGAAGCTTATTCAACTTCCCCAGTGATCAGTGAATATGGATTTGGGAAATAAAGAATACAGGTAGCCCTTGACTTACGACCACAATTGAGCTCAGAATTTATGTTGCTAAGTGAGAAATTTGTTAAGTCAATGTTGCCCCATTTTACGACTTTTCTTGCCACATTTGTTGTGAATCACTGCAGTTGTTAAATTAGTAACACAGTTGTTTGATCCCCCTGACACTGACCCAGAATCTCTTTTGGATGCTCTGCGGTCAAAATGTCATCCAGCGTAAAACCTCAGCGGCTGTTTTTTACCTCTAAATTTTTTCATGACATTTTTCAGAAGCACAGCAAAATCACTGTAATCCCAGATTGTCCACATCGGATCTACAAGTAAATTCACCGGATACTCATATATTTTCTTCGCTTGGTATCTGGCAAGGCAAAAGAACAATGTTTATTATCTCCCAATGGAAGAAGCTTTCTAAAACATCAGATGGTGCTTGAGGATCCAGTCTGAGTTGGTCACCGGGACCAGAGGTTTATTCTTCCAAGCTTTTGGATTCGTGCTGGAACTGCCCTCTCTCCACAGTATGTACACTGGGCTGTCCTGCACATTGTATACATGTGATGCCTGGTTGTGTGTGACTTTTAGTTGTTAAGTGGGGTGTTGATGGCCGGCCATTAAGTCAGTGATTGTTCTTTCCTTGTGTTGCCCTGTCCTCAGCTCCTAAGTACCTGGTAAGCTGGTGATTGACTGACAAGGGCCCTGTTTTCCAGGCTTCAATCATTTATCTGCTTAGCTATTGTTTTAATAACGTGCGGGATAAGAACAGGAAGCTGGGGCTGGAAGAAGAATATAAAAGATTAGAACTAGAACTACAGAGAGAACCGCAAAAACCAAATCTTAAAAATCAAATGGAATTAGTAAAACATAAATTAAATATATTTGAGAAAGAGGAATTGGCACAAAAAAAAAATCAAAGCAGCAAAACAGAATTTTTTTGAAAATGCAAATAAGCCAGGAAGATGGCTGGCATTCGGACTTAAAAAAGAGAAAGAAAAGAAGTTGACTGGTACTATTCAATACCAAAATGAAGCCAAGAAAAAAATAATAAAGGAATTCTATGAAAAATTATATAGCAAGAGAAAATATCAGAAGTTAAAATGGAATATTATGAGATGCATAATGAAAAGCAAATGGCACTGATTTTCCTTGGCGCACAGAAGGCATTTGACAATGTGAACTGGCAATTTATGCTTTTATAATTAAAGTATATGGACTTTGGAGATAAATTTATTAACACGATTAAGGCAATATATCATAAACAAACAGCAAAGGAGATTATAAATGGGGACTTGACAGAGAACTTTAATATAACTGAGGGTACAAGGCAAGGATGTCCCCTACCTCCACTGTTATTTATTTTAACTTTAGAGGTGTTAAACAGAAATATTAGGCAAGACAGTGGAATAAAAGGCATGAAAATAAAGAAGGAGTACAAACTACAGGCATTTGCTGATGATTTGGTGTTTATTTTAGAAGAAACACAAGAAAACAGGACCTAAACTAATTGAGAAAATAGAAGTATACGGTGCAGTGGCAGGATTGAAAGTAAACAAAGAGAAAACTAAAATATTAGTTAAAAACTTTACAGATAAACAGAAAAGAGAATTTGCCAAGATGATGGGTTTGCAGATTGCAAAGAAAGTTAAATATCTAGGAGTTCAATTAACAGCAAGATGTGTAACTATCAAAGAAGATAACGGTGATAAATTGAAAGCGCAAATTAAAGTAGATTTGGAAAATTGGAAAAACCTACAACTGTCCTTGCTGGGTAGAATAGCTACAATTAAGATGAATATTTTGCCAAGATTATTGTACCTGTTTCAGACAATTCCAATAAGACTAGGGAAAAAATACTTTGAAGAATTAAATAAAATGATATTGAAATTTATACGGCAAGGCAAAAAAGCGAGAATAAACGTAAAAATATTACAAGATGGTATGGGAAGAGTGATATACATAGCTACCTTCAAAGACATTATATTAGGAATGCATTACTGCTAGTATGGAAAAAATTAAAGAACAAACGTATTTGAAAATACCAGTCTGGTTTTAAAGGTTGTAAAGTTGATTGCTACCACATGATCGCTCACTTAATGACAGCAATGCTTAGCGAAAGGGGTTCCAGTCCCCATTATTGTCTTAAGTTGAAGATTACCTGTACTAGTTGCAAGGGAAGCTGAATACAAACTGAAGCTGAATATGAATCAGAAGCAGCTCTTTGAAGAGGTATTGAAAGTAAATGTTTAGCCTTGACCAGAGAAAATTCAGAGGGGACGTTAATATTGGAATCAACAACTAGGGTTCAAAATACAGGATACCGTAAAAAACAGGCTAGAAACAGAAGTTAAGATAGACAAGAAAATGAAAATGGTAAGTGAGCACCTGTTCAACCTAGACAAGTTCAAATCACCAGGACCAGAGGGATTACACCCCAAGGTTCTCAAGGAACTGGCAGATGTGATCTCAGAACCACTGAACTATATCTTTCAAAGATACTGGAGCACTGGGGAACTATCGGCGGATTGGAAAAGAGCTGATGTAGTTCCCATCCTCAAAAAAGGAAAAAAATGGATCCAGGAAACTACAGACCTATCAGCCTGACCTCAATACCTGGGAAGATTCTGGAAAAGATAATCAAACAACGAATCAGCCAATACCAAGAGGCAAACAAAGTCATTACCAAAAGCCAACATGGGTTTGTCAAAAGGACAAATCATTGCATTCTTTGACCAGGTGACAAAATCAGTGGACCAGAGGAATGCTGTGGATATAATTTACTTGGACTTCAGTAAGGCATTTGATAAAGTACATCACAACCTACTACTTGATAAGATAGAAAAATGTGGGTTAGACAGCATCACCACC